TATCTTCAATATGTATCCATTTTCCTATGAATGAATCTATTTTCTCGTTCTTTATGGCTGAGTAATAATATTCCATTTTATAGAAAAACCACATCTTTATCCAGTTTCCAACTGAGGGGCATATGGGCTGTTTCCAAGTTTTAGCTATTACAAACTGTTCCACTGTAAACATGGATGTGCATACATCACTGTGATATGATTCTTTTAGTTCTTTTGGAAAGATACCCAGCAGAGGGATGGCTGGGTCAAATGGAACCTCCAGTCCAATTTCTTTGAGGTATCTCCATATTGATTTCCACAGTGGTTGCACCAGTCTGCACTCCCACCAACAATGGAGAAGGGTTCCTTTCTCCCCAAAACCCCGCCAACATTTGTTGTTGATTTCTTCATAGCAACCATTCTTGGTGGGGTGCGATGGAATCTCAGTGTTGTTTTCATCTGCATTTCTCGAATAACCAGTGATGTGGAGCATTTTTTCATATATTTACTTGCTGCTTTTACTTCTTTGTCTGAGAAATGTTTGTTCATTTCAGATGCCCATTTTTGAATTGAGTCTTTATATTTGGGGGGGCTGATTGTTTTGATTCTTTATATATTCTAGATAATAGTCCTTTGTCTGAGGTGTGCTCCTAGAACTTATACAGTTCTGCAACCTGTATAAAAATCCCTGAGAAGTACAGTGCACTAAAATAACTCTCTTGAGAGCCCTTATGCCTGCTGTAGGCCTTCCAACAGACCAAGAGAATATAATTTAAATCAGAGTTGAATTCCTTTACGGAAAGTAGAAAAATTACAAGCAATATAGTAAGTATAAAGTAACATAATCCATTCTTTAAAAAGATTGAACAAAATGTGATACAGACACAATGTAATTATCAAGTCTCAAAAAGGAATGACATTCTAATACATGCTACATCATGGATAAATATTGAAAACTTGTGCTAAATTGTTCATTAATTTTCCCAGAGACATGAAAGACATGTTGCTTCTGGATTGGGATGGTAGTAACAGACCAAAGAATAACTCAGACAAGTGCAGTTTGGCAAATAAATGAGTTTATTGGGTATTACTAACGGATGGTGGAGAGCTTATGGACAGCTATGCTACAAAAGTCATCACCTCCCACTTAACTACCTTTTGTTTATATAGGGCTCTAAATTGCACAGCAAAAGCAAAGAACAAGAACCAGAATCCTTTGGAAGAATTATGTTTATGTGCACTCTGTTCTCATCCTTATCGAGAATTTCCTGGTTTCAGCAATGTCATCAAGCCATAGTGAGGGATGTCTTTGCTTTGCTGCAGTCTGGCATGCAACCTCAGTGGGTAGGTAAGGGCCCATGGGCCAGGTTATGGTTACTCACTATAAAACAGTGACTCCTTGACTAGGCTCAGGAGACTGTTCTCTTTACACAAATCTAATAGGCCAGGCTCAAAAGAACATATAGTGTTAGTTCAGATAGCACAATTGGGGCTAGACCCTCCTCTTCCATCCACTTAAATTTGGCAATACCCCAGGACCTATCCTTCAGGGAAGGACTATCTGTTTGGGCTATTATAACAAAGCACCACAGGCTAACTTACAAACAAATATAAAAATCTGTTTGTCACAATTCTGGATGCTGGGAAATCCAAACCAAGACACCAGCAGATTCAAAGGACTCATTCTGTGGCTTACAGATAACAGTCTTCTCCTTGTCCTCACATTCATGGTGGATTAACTGTCAACTTGGCATGTCCAGCTGAACAGAGTTAGCATGGTTCTGAGTGGTAGACTCACCTGAGGATTGTTGCCAACAGCATTAAAAGAGAACTGGAGGGGACAATTGTTTGCTGCTGATTTTCTTGGAGAAACTTTCTGTGGCTGGTTTTCCTGATGCAAACTTGGATATTCTTGTTGGAGAAGGAGCTCAGGTCCTCAATGTTGCTGGGAATGGCTGCTATTCTCATAAGGGAGCTCTGATTTTCACCTTAAGCATCACTGGCTCCAGCACAGGTCCCTCAGCCTGGCAATACATAATCCTAGAAAGCTTCCACCACTGGCCTTTGGGAAATAAGGCCTCTATATGACCCACACCTCTGTGCAACTTAAGCAAAAACTACTTTTGGTAGAGTCATCTGTCAAATGATTAGTTCAGCTTCAGTGTTCGACCCCAGATTCAACACAGTCACCCACCTTCAGGTAACAGTGGCCTTAATACTTCCTTGAAATCTCCCCAATACTTTCCAGGTTCTTGGTATTCTGAACAAAGAAATGTACAAGACACACAGAAAAGGTAGTGCGGATTTACATTTATTGAAGGCGGGAAAGAAATACGTTCTGCAGAGTAAGAGCAAGCTGGTAAAGAGACTCAGAATGGCTTTGAGGGCTCTTTTGTATATGGAATCCCTAGATTGCTTTTCCCCATGCAAATAAGGCTTTGGGGATAGTTGTCCTATCAGAAACTCAACTAGCCTGTTTGGTTTTGCAGATGATATAAATGAAGAATCAGAACTGGCACTTTTCTGATTGGTCCTGTGTATGAGGTTTGAGAACTGTATAGTCATCCTGGATTCTGCATTCTGTGCATGTGCTCTGGGTCTCCCAGACTGAAAGTCTCTTCATAGTTGTTTAACTGGTTTGCCCCAGCCCTAGTCTCCTACCCAGCATCCAATAAAATCCAGCTCCCCTAATTGATAGCCAATTAAGGTGTAATTGATTTGTGATACCTCAGTGAACAGTGTCCAAGACATTTTAAAACATTTTTAGTTTTGCAATGTAGGCATTGAACCCAGGGACTTTGCACTGAGCTACATCCCCAGCCCACTTTTTCAGACAAGGTTGTACTAAATTGCTAAGCAGCAGAGGCTGGTCTTGAACTTGCAATCCTTTTGCCTCATCCTCCAAAAATGCTGGTATTACAGCTGGTGTACTACCACATCTGGCTGGTTTTTAAAATTTTAGTATGAATCATTAAACTAGAGGAATAATTGAGATTCAAGGTAAATTTTAAGACAGTGAATGAGATGATTGTGAGTTTCTGCACAATATATAAATGAAGAAGAAAGGAAAATAAACAATAGCAAAGTAACTGACAATTACTGACTCAATAGTTTGGTTAATTGCAGGGTAATACTAGATTTGAAGATGCTGTCAAAGGACTTTAACAATTTTCAACATGAAAGGCAAACATTTTGGTTAAATCCATGAGCTCTGAATCTGCTGCTGACTAGCTGGATAATCTCAGGCAGTTCAGTAAACTATGAAATACAAAACATATGGGACTACCCAACACCATTTCTGCAATACAATAGATGATCAATAAATGTTGAGGGCATTAATAGTTCTGAGCCCCATTAAGTCACAATTTATACCTCAGAAATGCCTCAGGCTTCCCTCTAACCTTGATGTTTAGGGCTTGGATCCACCACAAGATTGACAGATTTGACAGCATAATTACAGTAACTGCCAATTCTTGAACTCCTCTCCATCTCCTGTATCCCTCTCCAGTCATGGTACAGCATCTGGTACACAGTAGCCACTCAATAAATTTCTTCTGAACTAGGCATGTAAACTGAACTTCTTAACTCATTCTTAAGCGATGCGAATCTTCTAGAGATGAAAAATTATAAACTTCACCTGAGGAAGCTCATCAGAAGGAAGAGTTACAGGAGGTCATCCAGGAAGGATCTTCTGGGAAAATGAGAGTCTAGGAAAGGGCTGAGAATGCTGGAAAGGCTGAAAACCAGTGGGCCTGGAAAATTTCTCTCCAAAAATGTTTTCTTTTGCTGACTCACCCAAAGGCTGACTCAAAGAATGCCGGTATGAGTAATTTAGAAATCATCCTCAGGTCCACAAAGGGTAAGTGTCTTAAAATCAAATCAATAACAAAAGAACTAGAACTAGCCCATAGTAGGCTCCCTCGTTCACTGTCTTTTTCCCACAACAATATTAAAGCTTGTGAAAAGGTACTATGAGTACAGTTTTTAATATGTTTGGACAAGAAGTAATGCAAGGGATAGGCCACTCCCCAGGGCAGAAGGTATGGTGTTGATAGGTAAGTGTCTTATTTCACATATCCTTCTCTATCAAAGAAACTGATCTTCAGCACTGATAAAAGTGTAGTCCAAAATAATTGGCAAGTAATTAAGTTTAAAGATAGATGAGAGGATAGAATGCCTAATCAATTTAATTGAATGCAAGCTCCAGACTCAAAGACATTCCTCTTCAAGCTACTGAGAGAACTTGCAGCTGTTGTAGCATCTCCCTGGGGAAGAGTATTGCTAACTGCTTTAAAGCAAGGGTGAACTAGCTGCCTGACAACTATTACCAGCCTTCCTATATCCATATTCAGCAGTTCCCAGCTACCATGTGATTTGGACTCAACTTGAGAAAGTTACCTCCTTTACAGAATCAGAGTTGTTACAGAGTGAAACAGAATGAAATGGAACACTGAAGCCAACAAAATAAGATTGAAGAGAGCAGTTGAAAAGTCCTCCATTTGGCATTTTTTAAAAATCTATAAATACAAAACAGAGATGTGAATTAAAAATAATTCAAGTTCAAAAGTTTCAGAAAACTTAGAGGACTCCGATCTTGTATCGTTGTGTGATGCACCAAACAAAATAGCTAAGGATATTTTAAAAGCATTAATAAAGGCAAAGGGTTCCGAATAAACAGAGCTTGGGCTTTTGGACTCTTTTTCCTGGCATACATCCTCTGTAGTATTGTGTTCGGCTCTGTTGGTGTCCCAGGAAGGATAAATAATACATGATCTAGAAACCATGTCAGGTGAGTGTAATAGACTTGGGGATGTTCATTTTGTAGGGCTGTTCAATTTCATTACTAAACTGTGAAGGAGGCAGTCATTTTTCTATGTCAGTTTATAAGAGAACTAAGATTAATTAGGTGAAAGCAAACTTATCTAACACAGGAGAAAGAAAACTAGCATTGGTTGAATGCCATCAGATCCTGTCCCTTCTTGTGCTAGTATTTTGCATTATTAAAACTTTTCAGAAAGGTGGATATTTTTAGAGTGGTGAGCTTCCAGGCACTGGAAGTCATTTCTCTAGCTCAGGACTGTTCACTTTAAGTAGTGCGATCCCTTTTCTGCTTCCGGGTCTCAGGAATGCTGTCCAGGCCCTCTAGAACCTAGGCAGGTTGTCTGGGGGCAGCAAAGGCCCCTGTACTTTGACAAAATGAGTGTCCCACACAATTTCCAGGTTCCAAATTCCTCCTACAGGGCTGACTGTGAAAGAGGGCCACATAATTCACAGTTTCTCCAGCTGCTATTTCCAACCTGTCTTGAATGGTGGGATGGAGGGCTACATCTATGGGAAAGACCGAGTGTGGTGAGAAATGTAGGAGCTTTGAATTTGTAAAGTATATGTGACAGCAAATGGGGTGGGCCAGGGTCCGAATACTTTTTCTGACTGGTACAGCCTTTTCCTCCATATTGATCTATAGCCCTAGAGTCACGAGCTAAAACCCTTCTGCACGAAGGATGCTCTGGTCAGTGAACAGTATGCATCCAGTAGGTCCTGGATGGATTCCAATAAAGAGATGTTTTCTAATGAACTAACAGGAAGTCACAAAGCAATTCAAGGCACCAGGCACCTTCCAACCTCAAGGCCATCTGTGCTTGCTCTCTCTGTCCACCACACTAGCTCCCTTAGCCTCTGTACAGCTCCTGCAACACATTCAGGTCTTCTTTATGATGCCGCCTCATCAGCAAGCAGTAACTGCTCCTTCTCAGTATTCCCTTCTCCCCCACCTGACTTTGTTATACCATTTAATAGCATCACATATTTGTAGATTCAGTTGTTTATTGGCTACCTCTAACTACAGTGTAGGCACAGTTCTATTTTATTCACTGCCAAAAACCCAGCACCAAGAATACTAACCCAAGGAAGATGCTCAATAAATATTTGTTGAATTAATGGATGAGGACTGATTGGAATTATTAGGTGTAGAGAGAATTTCCCAGGACTGATACCTAATCCGTCTTTCCTAATTCTAATTGCTAACCACTTCTTTGGTGAAACCTGCTGAAATGCAAAGAGCTTTTATTTGGCCACAAGAGGGTGGTGTTGATTTTATTTTCATTGTGTGGAAGCTTTGTTCTGAATTACTGTCTTTTCTTCCTCCTTAGACCCCAGAAAGAAAATCTGGGACAAAGCCATGTCTGCAAGCCAGAGCAAACACGTAGTATCTCTTCCCAGGGAAATTCAGTTAAAACCTGTATTAAGAACAGTCCCTATAAAAGAAAAGGTCACTTGACAACACGAGGAAGGCCTAGGAAGAAGGAGCTATCTGAGAAGGTGCCTCTATCAGTCTAGCTTCTGTAACCATGGAGATACAACAGTTGACGAGATGACCCTGTATTCTGTGCCACATCTACCTCCCTTCCTTCTGTTCTAGCAACGTCCTGCCAGCTGTCCTGCAAAAGTGTGAGCCCTCACAATACAGAGTTTAGACTCATGGTTCCAGTTGTTATCCTCTAGATACGAATTATCCAAGGAATCACTCCATTTTACTAAATCTTACTTTGTAAAGACACCATGCTACGGGGCTGTGTGAGATGATGCATAAATTAAGGAACACTAGTCCCAAAGTCAAAGTTATGATACCAGAAGGCAGAAGAGGACAGGATAGAAAGTCCAGAGAATGTGCTAAGAGCATTCAGAAGTGAGAAAGAGGGAACAGAGGAGTTTATAAGAAGGATGACATTTGAATTGGAATTTGAATGAGAACAAGGTATTTGGCTACATCTAAAGTAGTGGTTTCATGGGAGACATTTTTTCCAAAGACGGGGTGGGGTGGGTTAGAGTAGTTTGTGGATGATATATATAAAGAAGCAGGCAATCGAGCCCCCTGTGTGCAGTTGGTATGGTTTACACTCCTATGAGAATCTACTGCCACTGCTGATTTGCCAGAAGGTGGGGTCATGCAGGTAGGAGAATGGTGGTGAGTAACTGTAGAGCCAGATGAGGCATCTGTGACCTATTTCCTGCTGCTCACAGACCAACACAGTAGTCTCTGGTCAAACATATTGCTCATTTGAAAGAGAAATACTCCAAAAGGAGAACAAGGGGAAAAAATTGAAAGAAAAGATCAGATGTGAAGTAGCAGCTCTTGAGTCATAGGCTTCAACTTCCTTCCTGGCCCACACCCCTACATAAAGCCACAGCCATGGTTCCTCTCCTCTAGGGCAACGTGAGGCCTGTTGGTCACCCCAGACTAGTGTGGGAGAAGGCGTTCTGCCTCGAGAGTGAGGAAAGGGGATAAGAAGTCTCTCAGCCTCTTCAGGTTGCTCCTGCTCATCAGCATGGGCAGGGTGTCCACGAGAAGGTCTGGGTTTATGTACTGTAGGTGGAAAAGCAGGTAACACAGCAGCTCAGTGAAGATCAGGGCCATAAAGAAAACCCAGCGGAAAAGCCTGCGAAGAGACACTTGTTATTAGCATGAGGGGAAAGGACACTCCAAAGTCAAGCAGCGGGAGCTGAATCCCATATTCATAAATGGCTAGAGAATTCATTTCCTCAGACAAAACTGATAGAGCAAAGTGGGATATAGGGGTACAGAGAGTAAGGGTAGGGGGCAGGTCAACACAGAAAAAGAGCTGTTCCCCAGCAAAATGTAGAAAAGTTGGAGGAGCAAAAGAAAATGGATTTCTGGACCCATGGAGGTTATTAGATAAAAGTTCGTAATTGTCACACTCGGGAACCTCATCACCATTAGTCCTCTCCAGTAAACAGGTTTAGAATTTGAAGTAATCATTAGCCATCTGTTACATTAACATCAAAATGACAAAGGTTGGCCTTTGCTAAATAAACATCAGGTGCTCAAATAGACTACAATAAAGTGTATGTATGTTTTTGTATAGAGCCAAGAAAAAAAAATATATCCCCCCAACTGGTTAAAGGCTTTGAGTCTTCAGCTTTATGGAACTGTCATACATGGGAGCTTTCCATAAAAGTATTACATGAAGCGCTTCAGAGTTGGTCTCATTTCAAAAGTTTAAAAACAAAAGATGTAGGAAGCTCAAGTATCTTTTTCTCTAATTTCTCAGCCTGCAGTAAAAGAACCAAGAAAATTAATGCACCCTGTGCTCTTTACAGAATATAACAAAAGTTACTAGGTTTGGGACCTGAAAAGTAGAAAGAGGCCATCCCAAAGATCACAAGAATAAAAATTAAAAGTGAACTGCAAACTGCACCTTCCATTCTAAACATATCAGAAATACCCACCAATCCCCCCAGCTATTTAGAGCTTTGCAACTCTGTGGTTACAACTTTGTGTTGAGAAAGGAATGAAGGAAGGATTTGGAGAAACCTGAGGCTGCCTGATGTTCTCTGTATTGTGGATGTACTGATTCCTTTAGCCCTTATTAGGTCAACTGCAGAGTGAATGTGGCCTGGAGTAAGTCAAAACCAAGATTCTGCCACTTACCTAAAAAAAGAGATCCTCTTCTGTTTCTTAATTATAGTCTTCTTCTATGGGAAATAATAAAAACCAAAGCTGTGGCTGGCCAGGTGCTTACAGAAAAGCAGAATAGCAGGGTAGCTATGAGCAGAGACCTGGGGCCAAGCTGTCCAGGTTTGAATCCTAGCTGCAGTAGTCACAGCAAGACCCTGAATCTCATTATTTCCTAATTCTACAAATATTAAAAAGAAGACAGAGAAAAAAAGGGACAGAAGAGACCCAAATTTGAACATGTAAGACTTACCATGTTGCTTTGAATGATCTCTACCAAAACGGATCCAGGCTTCACTGCTTGGGAAGAATTCTGAGCTTTGGCTCTGGGTGAAATAGAACAGAGGCAAAAATTATGTAACAAACATCTGAAGAGCTGGTAAAAGGTATTTTTCTAAGTCATGCAACATGTATGGTTAAATGTCTACATTTTTTATAACATTCACAAAACTTGACATTTAAACTGCACAATTTGTAGAAACTAGGAAAATATGATTTCATTCTGAAGTGAAAGACAACCTATGAAGACTAAGCCTGGTGTCAGCCTGATGTCGGATTCAAACTCCAAAGTCTCTTTCTGGGTGGCAGCTCAAATGTCAGTTCAGGTCCTATATCCTCAGCTGAGCTCTTCACAGATTTTCCTGCGCACACCTAGGTTAGAGGTCAGCTGGAAATGCGGGCAGCGTTTAGGTACATAATTTGGAGCTCCCCATGTCTGGTTCTCTACCTTCTTCCCAGTGTCTTTGGCTGCTCTGAATTACATCCTTTGTTTTGGGTGGTTTTTTCCCCCTTCAGAAAGAGGACAAAATTCTTCTTGGTGTTTTAGCTGCCTCTTATGTATTGTTTGGTCTGCCCTCAGGTTAGAAAACTGGGGGATATAACCTACTGCCATTCTTCCTACTTTTATTCATATTCTGATGCCTTCTGACCATCCATTTGTTCTGTTTTGTTGTCTACAGTTTACATTATTTTCTGCTAGTGATTCAAATCCAACAAAAGCTAACCCAGAGTTTTCATGGGAATTTGATTAATAATCATCAAATAGAGGAGAAAAAGGGAGAAGCAGCAGAGACTCCTGTTATTCTCCTCAGAGAGGACCTCGTGTCCTATACTAGCCTACTTCCAAGAGCAACTCTAAAAACTAGGCCTAACGCACAGCAGCTGTTTGTAATGCACTGGAAAATACAGTCAGAAGCCACAAGGTACAAAACCTGAGCAACAAAAAGCACAAAAATCCAACTCCTTGTTCATTCAAGGCCTTCCCCCAGAGGCAGCTTGTGCCAACTCGTGGCACAGGGCACTAGCATCCACAAAGCCAGTGCCAACAGCGATTGGTTGAGGAGACAAAGGTGGAAATCTAAGGTCATCAGAGTTACTATGATTGAAGGGGAAAGACTCAGGGAAGAAGCAACCACTGAGAAATGAGTTCAGATTCTCCATGAACTTTCCTCTCCACATGATAGCTTTGCTTTGGTCCCTTAGTGAGGTTGTTCTTTTCCACTTACATTTCTTTATTAAGCATCAGCACTTCCATTTCCTTTTCCAACCGCCTCAGAGCTTCCTGGTACATCTTTCCATGTGGGGAAAAATGTCATCAGTAAGAGTATTTTTATTTTATTTCAACATCATTGACAAAAACATATTCTGCCAACATTAACTCCAAATATTCCAAACAGTATGTGCCAACGTGTGCACAAAGTAGGAAGGTGCTCTTAATAAAAAATCAGGAGAGTCTAGTGACCAGGATGCATGCACATCAACACAAAATCTGGACTCTGCTCATATTCACACCCCAGTTCTCACATATACTATGTTCCCTCGAGCACATTACCCAACTCCCAAATCTCAGCATTCTCCGTCATCACAATCATAACCTCAGAGGGTTCCTTTGCAAATTCATTGAGAAAAATACTGTTCAAGAGTTTATTAGCACAGTGCCTGGCACAGAGGAACATCTGTTGTGTTGCTGCCACTGTTGCATAAAAGGCATTTTTCCCAGGGGCAAATCCCAGAGCCTGATGAGAAACCAAGGATCTTATGGCTTTGGGGAAATCCTGCCTCGACTCTGAAGTGTCTACCTTTATGCAGTGGGCCTGGTCCTCACACCGCTCTCGAATGAATTGGTAGTCACTCTTCGCCTAGGCAAAAGAAGATAAGAAAATTAACAAACTTCATGAGTTAAATCAGAACCAAGGCTAGGCTCCTCCCTGGAAATCTACCTGGCACAGAGGACTTTTTGGCTGTTACCTAGCAACAACCACCTCATAAAGAAGTGATGTCATCACTCACACACAGAGTCTAACTGTGAGCAAAGTAAATGGTTTGCCAGGTTGTCTATGCCTCTCTGATAAAACTCATGAAACACTGGGGGATGTTATGAGGCAATTAAGTTTGGGGTTCAACAATGGTATGTGGGGTTAGAGGACCATATGAGAAATGGAAAAATCAGTTCTTTTAATAGAAACTTTTTGTTTTCTTCACCTACATGTGAATCAGTAAGTCACTTGGCAGTGCTTTTTGCTCCCCCACCTCCCCCTGTTTTGGGGTTCCCTTCTATTTATACCCTGTGAAAACCTCAGTGAAGGGACACTGCTCTACCTTAGCCATTTCCTTCTCTTGCTGTGCACAGGACTCTGTTGACTGTTGTAGCTTCACCTAGGGAAGAAAATGAATGACAGCCAGATGTTAATAACATTCTTCTGTGTGAGGCTAGTATGTTATAATCACCCTCCCCAGGCCAACAGTCAGCTGTTATGTGTTGAAAACATATGATAATCTTAGGGTGGACATGAGTATCACTACCATTTTACAGATGAGGAAACAAAGGTACCGTACTGACAAGTGCTTAACTCGGTTAAGTCTCATCATGGCAGAGATGGCATTTAAACCTCAGTAGGCTTACTTAGGCAGAATAGACATCCTCCTTCCCCCATCCCATGGATGAACTGATAAAAGCTCCCTGGATTATTATCCTCATTCAAATGTGGTGAGGTACACATGCCCTTTGAATCACAGAGCAAAACAACTCCTCTTTTTTCTAGAGAAACACATAGGACAGTGGGGTTCTTAGGTGGTGGGCTTGGCCAAGTTACCATTTTGCCACATAAATCTGCCAATAGCTTTCCAGTACGGTTCTTGCCCACTATTGGGAGTTGAATTCATTCACTCAACAGTTAATCACTGAGCATCTTCTATGTGGCATTTTAAGATCTTGGGTGTAAAGAACATAGTCTGTAAAAATTCATGTTCTTAATTGGTTTGCCTTGTGGTAAAGAGAATTAAACTGAATTTTAAAATATAACTTGGCCTGTAAGCCAAAGCTTGGAAGACTGGTTAAGCTCATCAACACATATAATTTGGAGATTAGTATTTTCTTTCTACTTGAACTTCTGTATTCGTGTGTCCTCATTTCTATCATGAACTTCTCGAGGGAAGACCTCAGTGAGCGTTCAGAGACACATGTTTTATTATCTGGGTGACAAGGCCTGTTGAGCCATTCTCTCCACTTGATGGCATTGCACTCATCTCGGGCACTGGTGATATCATAAAGGTCTCATGTGTCATCAGATTAAGTGAGGGCAACAAAGGGCATAGGCTAACCTCTGACAACCACACAGACATGCTCAGCACCATGCACAGCAGAGCCCTTGGTAGCAGTTCTTCCCAGCACCTGGAAAACCTGCATCCCAGAAAATCTCTAGATTTGCCATTCTTTTTTTTTTCTTTTTATTGAGTTTATTGGTACAATCTAGGTATACAATACAATTACATTCATCATTGGGATTCTGTACCTTTACCTAATAGGTCTTGATTCTCATTTTTTCCCCTTGTCCCTGCCTTCCCTTCACCCCCCCTCCCCTCCCCATTTACAAACACTTTATTTCCATTTTTTCAGTTTCTCATATTTTTTCCTCTCCCTTATTACCTTTTCCCCACCCCTCCCACTTTCCCTACACCTTTAGCCCTTTACTTCCTATTTCACATTATTAATTATCTCATTAGGATCCTGTGTACTATTATAGTTTTTCACACCAGAGAAACTATTCGGTATTTCAGTTAAAGAAATCTCTGTATGAATATTAAAAATAGGGAATCCTAAAATAAAACTAAAAAGGAAAGTAAAAGAGAAAAGGCAATGATGTAACATTAAAATAATCCTTAATTCTGGCCATTCTACTCACCTTCAATTCTGCCAAATTCTGCTTCAGGGTTTCTTTAGTAGGGCCAACATTCTTAAATCCCCTTGAAATCTGAAAAATCATTCCCCAAACTGTAGACTTAGTAGGCCACGCACAACATACACGAAATCCCAGGATAGTGGCACAGTCGGGAGGCCCAGGTTATTAATTCAGCTCCTCATACAAGCTTTATGGAAAAACATGGAAGATGCCCAAGACCGCTGTAGCTGGACATCCCTTTATGTCTGCGTAGCTCTTGGAAGCCTACCCATGTGGAGAGGTCAGTGATGAGAGAAGGAACAGACAATGGGGCAGAATGACTGGGAAAGGAGGGACAGATCTTGTCTCTTTCTACAGTCCCTTAGCCGGGTCACCACAGCTTGTAATTCCCAGAGGACATATGCTGATGTTAGTCACTATTTGTTCAAAGATCCAAAAGGTGCTGGAGGACAGAGCACACAGATTTTTCTCATTGGCCCCTTCTCTTTCTGACTGGAACATATTGGGATTCCTGAAAAATGATCCTTGTTTCAAGGTAGTCTTTGTTCATAATGCATTTCCTCATTGTGAGTGTGCACTGGACCCTTGCATATGCTCACAGCCCACTCCACCGTCCCTTGTCTTGTAAAGAAAAATTACCCTAGGAATCCTGGGACCTTCAAACCCTGGGCTCCTCTTACCTTCCTCTGAAGCTCCTCCACATTCTTGTTTAGGATTGCATTCTTTTTTTCCTATGAGAAGGAGGAGGTAAAGGGGATGAAGGTGATTTACTCCCATACTTGCCCTCCTCACCAGTCTGCATCTAGAGACAAGGGAATCACATATGGAAAGTAAGCTCAGAAAAGTGTGCTCAGCCCCCACACTGAGAATCAGGTCTCAGCCCTGTATGGAGCACTTCATTTGCAGACTACACTCTAAAATAGCTCTGATTTCCACAGTTGGACACTCTTTTTCAGAGACCTCCTTACCAGCTTTGCTGTCTCTACCTCCAAGTCTTTCAAGGCATTCTCCTTCTCAGATATGATCTGGTTCAACTCCTCCTTCTCTTCATCTCTTTCTGCTGACAGCATGAGATCTCTTTCCAGACTGAAAAATATAGTCACTCACCTGTGACTTAGCCCTAAGGCAGCTTTCAGGGCCCCCACTTTAGAAGCTACTGACAAAGCTTCAGGGAGATGAGTGATTGCTTACTGTGGTGACAGTAAAATCAACCTAATGTGGAAATGTAAGGCAAAATGCTGTTCATGTTTCAGGATCCACATAACAAGCTAAGATTTGCCATCAAGGAAATAGACCATCCTCCCACCTTTCTTCTATTCCAACGGACCTCCAGGTAAAGAGAAGCCTTTTCTACACCAACTTCAAAGCCTGACCTTTGAATAGTTCTTTCTTTCTCTTCAATTTTTCTAACAAGAGCCACATTTGCCTCATCCAGTGACTGCAGATCCTTTTCAAGGTCTGAGTTCAGGTGGTGGAGGTTCTGTTTTGTGGCTTCTAAATTTGCTATTTCCATCATTAGCCTGTAGGGAAAAAAATCAGCATTACTAAAGTCAGGCCAGTAAAACATAAGATCCCTAAGATTTTTATTCCCTCAACCCATCTCCTGTTGTAAACAAGCCTAAAGGGATCTACTTTATTTTTCATAATAAATTTATGTCAGCAGTGTTTTGTATAAGGTAAATTCCTAGAGTCGCATTTTTAAAATTCTTATTTTTGTGGTGCTAGAGATTGAACCCAGGACCTCATGCACACTAGGCAGCATTCCGCCACTCAGCTGCACCCCCAGACCTCACAGTGTAATTTACAATGTTTCAAATGAAACCCACTCATGCATATTTCTAATACAAAGCAAAAATATTTTCACATGAGTAATTATACTCTTACTTTCAAAAACTTCATAGGGCATATGTGGAATCTAAGCAATACCTACAAAATATTCAAAGAGAGAAAAGAATTTCTTCTAGCCCAAGAGCCCAGGTTGATTAGAAAGCAATGGAAGAATGACTCTGTTCCTCACAAAAGCCAATTTGCTGTGTGAGACATTGGCTGTTCCTGAAAACTCCATTGTAGTCTCACGTAGTACAGAGAACTGAAGCCAAAGTTATTTCTTCCTCAGAAGTGCTCCCGAGTTGGAGGAGATGATGTCCTATACAACTAAGTTCTCCCTCCTTACTGGATTCTGGAGATTACCCTTCATACAGTAGTTGTTCTCCCGAACTCCCTTGTTGTCCTTATTACATACATATCACCCGGTGGGTTTTGTTCAGCTTCCATTGTAAGCTTCCTAAAATATGAATACAAATATTTGTTACAGAAACAAAGGCCTTAATACTGAACACAGTGATTTGTCTAGGAAGGAATAGGTAAAAGTTAAGACTTTATACTTAGATAAAATGGAGCCAAGAAGACACCAAAGCCTTTCATACTCTCTTTTGCCAAGATCAATTGCAATATTTCACAAAAAACTAAATTTCAGTAAAGTAGATCTTAGTTTAATTTAGCATCTCATAAATGAATCCTACCAAAGTATAGGAACTTTTTTTTAAAATTTTTACTCTTTGGCTACCTTTTGTCTTCCTTGTATGCATTTGTCCTGTTGAGTAAAGTGTTGAAATACTCATGTATGGTTTTTGACAAACTTAGTGAGTTAATTGCTAAACCAAACCTCCAAAGAAACATAAAAAAAATAGAAGAGTAAGAGGCACCAAAGAGTGACTGCCTGGTTTCTATTAGTATGTTATCATCCCACTTTCCATTAAACTACGGATAAAACAGGCAGAGTTGGCCTTGAAACAGCAGCAGGAGCAGCAAACAAAATGCTACTACTGAAAGGAAGCCACACCATGAAGTCCTCAAGGATGGCATCTCCTATCCGTTGCACCAATTTCTGAAGTTCAGAATCAAGCCCAATCTAAATAAATAATACCACAACTCTTCTTTCCTTTCACATTCCATCTTCTCTCCTTTTGTCTGAGCGTTGAAACTTTCTCATTTTAATTCCCCTTTCAATTCCTTCTCCTATTTCCTCTTCCCATCATATGGCCTCTATTTTCCTTTTCTTTCCCTTTTGTTACACCCAGGGAATCCAGATGGTACTCTCTGAGCTCACCTGGCTTTTCTCAACTGAGATTTCTTCTGCCCTGAACACAGATTCCCAACTGAAAGCCAGAAATTTCAGAAAGGTGTTGCTTTACTGAGCACTCCCCATGCAGTGTAACCTTTCATATCTAGCTGGGTGGGCAGTATGTCATAGAGGGTAGGGATGAGTAGGGTGGCAACAGTGCCTCATAATCCTTGTACCAGGGTGGGAGTGCAGTTCAGAAATTTAGGACAGTTCAGATGCCTTTTGAAACAGCTATGAGAGCTACAGGCATTTCTTGACAGAATTTAAATCTCTTCTGAAGAGATTTCCCTTTCTTGTGTGCATTTATTTTGTTGAGTAAACTGTTGATATATTTATGTATGTTTGTTGACAAACTTACTGAGAGTTTATTGATGTATTCGTGTATGTTTATCTTTAACCCAAGCCTTCAAGAAAACAGAAAAAAATAAAAGAAGAGTAAGGCCAAAAGTGGGCTTACATTTCATTCCCACAGATCTCTAGGCCTACCAGTAGTTGTGATCATTCTTCTACCTCATCCATGATCTCTGTGGCATCATCACAAGTTTCTGCTTCCAGGTCCAAACCATGCGCCTCTATGCCAGAAAGAATACGACAGAAGTCTTATTGAGAGAAAAGTCCTCATTCTCACCACTTTGGATTATTTGACTTGCAAAAACCCTTTATTTCCTATCAACTGGCACTGCTAAGTCCCTGGGAAGAGGGTCTGGTTTTTCCACAGTAGCAGGTTTATGTATAGGTGCGAAGGATGATGGAAACAAGAGTGTTAGATCCATTTCTGCTGTCCACTCCTTCACAATTCCCCTTTCATTTTTGAGGTCTTAAATTACTGAAGCAGTTGATGGAATTTTACATATCAGTATCCCTCTGCTAAGCATTCCTGACTTCTTTTTTTGTGCTAACAAGAAGAAGCAGGACACAGAATTGGAGAAAAGCCCGTAATGATGTGTGCTTGAACTTCCAACTGTCCATTTCTGACTCTTACAGTTAACCCCTTCCATGAGCTAAGCCAAACCTTGTTTAGATAAATTATAATCTTAGGCCTCTGAAAAAGCCTCATAACAAGTAACCATCTCCAGTAATATCTCTCCCATGCAGGATTATCTGTCAGATAATCCATTAATCCATTCTTCTCAACTCAGCTTAAATGCTGATGCTTCTGTAACTTCCTAAAAACTAAGTCTAGTAGAATGAATCCTTCCAACCTCTTGGTGTTTTATGTTTTGTTTCATTTTTTTAACTGGAAATTGAACTCAGGACCTTGTGATTGTTGGTCAGGCAGCAGCAACACTGAGCTAAATCCCTGGCCCTATGCTGTTTTTAATTTTGTCTCCATCCTATATTAGTCCACAAGCTCCTTGAGAGTGTATTTTAATCCAAGTTATTTTTATTTTCCTCCTTACTTGTGCTCCAGGAGCACTGTTCATACAGAATTCAACATGGAAGTAAACTGGGTTTGATACAGAACACATCTGAATTTTCTTCTATCCTAGAACTCTGTAGTTGTGTTACCTTGAGCCAGTTATTTAATCTCTGTGAACTCATCTCCTGAGCTGTGAAATGAGTGTTACCTCTACTTTGCAAAGTTTTGGTGGAGAACAAAGCAAATAATGAGTGTAAGTTAACACAATGCCTGATGTGCAGTATACCTAATTCTCACTCATTTTCCCCAACATGATATGTAGTTCATTTTCTGTCTTATCTAACCTTTGCTCATGACGTATGCTGAATATTTTTTTTAGAAAAAATTCCTTGCATAAATCACTCCTGCCTCTCCCTTTGCCTACAACAGGCGTTCTTTTCCCCTTTCTCCTCCCAACATACCTGAGAGCCTCTCATCTGTACAATTGCATTAGCAAGTCTCATCAGCAGCAGTGCACTATGGCAGAATTCTCAACAGAAGGCCATAGCACATAGGAGGCTAATCCAGAATCAGCAGGGATGTAACTTGAAAGCCTCTGTTAAATATCCCAGAGAAGTAAGTGGCTGTGGTTGAGAATCAATGACGATGAACATATTTCCTCCATCACATGTATCTTCTTTTCCTTAAAGTCATCACGTAAACTCACTCTCTACAAAACTTTCCAAAACAAGCCCTTTTAACTTGTGTACATTGGGAGTGATCATATTTTTCTGTTTCCTTTGACACCGAGAATCTCAAAGTCATACATGAAGCCCCTAATATTTATCATTGTACTGAAAACTGTGCTCTCTAGATATTTCCTTTAGTCTTATTCTCCTATTCACATTCACAGGGTCCTGATTTTTAACTTTACACTGTTTTGTATTAAATGTGACATACATACAGATCATACAGATATAAATATAGACATAGATGAAGACATAAATATGGTAGTAGATAACAGATGTGTATATGAGAAGAGAGACTGTGGTTGAATGGAGCAGATCAGGATATTAACATGGGAATCAGACTGTACTCACTTTGAATACCTGCTATGCTATTTCTGTGACAGTTAAGTTGAACTGTCAATTTGACTGCCTTGAGAGCCATCTAGGGAATTAATAAAATACATCTCTGTGTGGGTCTGGGTAGGTCATGGAGGACTGATCTTCAGTGTTATATCTGGTCCCTAGCCCCTTGATTTCTGGTGAAGATTCCCCTCTCTTCTTCCCAGCCACCATGATTTGAACAACTTTTTTTCCCACCACACCCTCCACATGATATTCTTGCCTGGAAGCCAGCTGGCCATGGACTGAAACCTCTGAAACCATGAGCCAAATTAAACTTCTCTTCCTTTAAGTGGTAGGTGTTAGGTAGTGTGTAATGAAAAAGCTGACCAGTAAACTTCCCAGATGTGAGGACTTTAAAAACTTATGTAGTCCTCCCCAGGCTTAACTTTCTAATTTATGCACTGAAGTTACTATGTATCTACTTCATAAAATAGTTGTAAGGTTGAAAAGGGCATATAATATCTGACACAAAATAAATGCTCCATAAATGACAACAGTAATTATCACAATTATTGAAAATGCCAGACTAGCTCAGCATTATTAATAGCTTCTGTGCTCAAGTATTTTTATCACAGTGAAGGGAATCTGACTAATATAATATATCCTATTCGCACAAAACTCAGTTTTCTCCAAATAACTTTTGAAACTGTAGTATAATAGTGAAACCAAGAAACTAACAGCAATAAAATATGTGTGGATATTTTTATGACAGTTTATCACAGGTTTAAATGTGTGCCAAACCCCTGAATGAAGAATGAAGACTATTCCTTCCTCACATTTTCTTTATTCTACTCTCTTATTGCCCTCATAGCACACCGACTTTCTCCTCTACTTCTCCTGACCTCTGGCAAATTAGAATCTGTTTTCCATATCTATATCTACTCCTTTGGGAATGTTACATAAATAGAAATATATGGTGTATGATCTTTTGAGATTGGCTGTTTTTCACCCTTAGGGCTCAATTTAAATTATTTTATATAGCAATATTTCATTCATTTTTACTTCTGAGTAGTGTTGTGTGATCAGAACATTCTGTAATTTGGTTAACCATTCACCTGTTGAAGAATATTTCATCTATTCTAGGTTTGATTGTTACTGACAAAGCTACTGTGAGAATTGTATGCAAGGTTTTGTGTAGCTATAAATTTTCATTTCTCTGAGACATATATCAGGGAGTGTGATTGCTGGGTTATATCATAAATACATGCTTAGTTTTTAAAAACAAATTATCAATCTACTTTATCTACTTTCTAGAGTTGCTATACCATCTCTTATGGTTTGGTTCTGGATGTTCCCCTAAAGCGTCACTATGATCTGAGGTGGCTGAATCTGGAATGTGTGACGCTAGGATTTTAAGGGTGTGTGATCACTGAACCACTACACATGAGTTTGTCACTGCCCTAATCCCAGTAGTCCAGATGGGATAAAGGGGGCAGAAAGACATGGTGAAGGTCTCTTGCTGTTTTTGCTGTTTCCACCACACAAACTGTTGTTACCCCTCTGCCACCTTGCCTTAGAACCAGCTGATTATGGAATGAAGCCTCTATGAAACTGTAAGTCAAATAAACCTTTCCCCCTTTAACTTTGGGTATTGGGTATTTTGTTGCAGCAACAAGAAAAAAGTAACTAATACACTATCTTATATTTCTATCAGTAAGTAAATATATGAGAAGTTCCGTTTTTCTCTATCCTTTCTAGCGTTGTCATTATTTTTTATTTTTGGTATTCTGACAGTTTTGCAATAAAACATGTAGTTTTAATTTTCAGTTTTATAACGATTAACAAGAGTGATTAAATATTTTTTCATGTGCTTCCTTGCCATCTGTATACTCTCTTCTATGAGAATCTCTTCATTCTTTTGCCCATTTTATAATTGTATTATTTAATTTTTACCTTTGAGTTCAATGAATTCTGTGTGTGTGTGTGTGTGTGTGTGTGTGTGTGTGTGTGTGTGTGTGTGTGTGTGTGTGTGTGTGTGTGTGTGTGTGTGTGTGTGTGTGTGTGTGTGTGTGTGTGTGTGTGTGTGTGTGTGTGTGTGTGTGTGTGTGTGTGTGTGTGTGTGTGTGGTACAGTACTAGAGATTGAACCCAGAGTCTTTGCAATGGGCTACTCTATCCCCAGCCCTTTTTAAATTTTTGAGACAAATCTTGCTAAGTCACTAAGTTGTCCAGGTTGGAAGAGTGGAACTCAAGCTACAGTGGAGACTCAAGAAGTTAAAGATGCTAGACATGCCCTTGGGAGGAATATTGGGAGCTCTCTCTCTCTCTCTCTCTCGCTCGCTCTCTCTCTCTCTTTCTCTCTCTCTTTCTCCCACTCTCTTTCACTCTCTCTCCCCTCCCCATGCCACCATGAGGTGAGCTTCTCTACTCCACCATGCCAAGTCAAGTCAATAAGTTGTCCAAGCTGGGCTTCAACTTGCAATCCTTCTGTTTTAGCCTCCCTTGGACTAATCCTTGTCTGAGTGCTGGGATTTTAGGCTTGGGTTACAATGACTGGATCAATGAATTCTTTATACATTCAAGATATGAATTCTTTGTGGGGTATGTGATTTTCACTTTCTCCCAATCTGTTGTTTGTCCTTTCATCCTCTTAACAGAGTTTTCACAAAACAGAATTCTAAACTTTTGTTGCCTAGTT